TAATTACTCTGAGCTTCAGTTTCCTCATCTGTAAAATGGGTATGATAACAATACCTTCTTTTGATTATGGTGAGGATGAAATGAGAGGACGCATATAATGGGCTTAGCTCAGTCTGTGACACACAGAAGATGCTCAGTCAATGGTAGCTGCTCTCACGATGATGATGATGATGATGATGATGATGATGATGATGATGATATATTCGAATGTACTTTGAGAAGTCGAAGGACATGATGATGGTTATCATAACTACTTTCACGCAGCACTTTCAAGTTTGTATGTATTGAGCATGCTCCCTTTCTCCAGGGCATCTCTATGCATTTGGGACACATAACAATCTCCCAGGTAGGGGTTTATTCATCCCTGTTTAACCAATGGGAAGCAGGAGTTCAGAGGGTCTGAGGGACTTGCCAAAACTGTCCAACCCTCAGATGAGGCTCCTCTGGCCTCTTGGTATTTTTCCTCTGCCCTGAAGTTCCCTGGGCCAGCAAACTCCAATGTAAATCCAGAGCCAGATTTCAGAATCCCTGGCCCTTTCCAGCCTCCGGCTCATTTAGTTCCTGGCTCATTTAGTTCCTCGGGCACCTCTTTTTTCTCCTTCCTCGTCTGTGTAGCGGGATTAATCACCCCCCAGGGACCAAGAAATAACGAGCATGAAACATAGCGCACATTTGTTGTGGGCTGGCCGTGCACTAAGCCTTCAGCTCGCATTACCTGATTTCATGCTAGCGGCAATCCATGCAAAGAATACAATGATTATCTTGCTTTTACAGAGGAGGCCACTGGGGCTGAGAGAGGTTAAGGAATTTGTCCAAGGTCACACAGCAAAGTGGCAGAGCCAGGATTCAAAGCCAGATCCGTCTAGCCCCAAAGCCGAAGCTCTTACCCAGGACATTACTATCTCCGAGAAACTGCGCTGAAGGTGCAAGTGTCTGCAAAGCCATGAAAAGTCAGAGGGACACTGAGATGGGAGAACTGCTTGGCTGGTCTCCATCCTGTCCAGTACCCTCCTCCAGCTCCCAGAGGTCATGATACGGTGGGTGGTCAGATGGGTGAGCCAAGACGCTGGGGTGGAGCAGATGTCCCGACCAAGAACCAGGCTTCCCCACCCCATCCCAAAGGACAGCCAGGAAGCCCCCTCTGTGTAAGGACAAACCCGTACTGATCATCCCAGGCCAGCTCCCGCCCTCGCAACCTGCAGACATGTCCTTCTCGTCTGCATATGGCCCTTTCAGGTTACCACACCCTTCTCGAGCCGTCTCTCATTTAACCTGAGTCTGCCGCTTCCTAGCTCTATGGCCTCTCCTCTCTGTTTCATCCTCTATAAAATAGGATCATAACGACACACGCTTCACAGGGATGTTGTATGGATTAAATGTGTTAATACACGGGGGGAAGTGCTTGATATATGGCAGTGATCCTTCTAGCTGGGTCCCTTCTCAGCTAGCCCACAGTCCAGGGTTGTGGACAGGGCAGGGAATGGCTAACCCTCCTCTCCCTGCCTGCTCAGATCCTGCTGGTTCTTTGAGAGGCCTGAGGCCCCGTCCTTGCCTGATTAGGGGCCTGAGCCAGGCGCAAAGCTGGGACATCCCAGCAAGCCTTGCTGCCAGCAGCCTGGTGCTGCCCCCTTCCCTGTCCAGCCTGCAGGAAGAGCCAGGGGAAGAGAATGCTCACCTAGGGAGGGACTTTTGCTCCTGGCCCTCGATGCAATCCCAAAGGCCTCCTGTCTCCAGCTCCCGCTGGGCTTCAAGGGGCGGCAGGAAAAGGGGGGTGACCCCTGCCTCCTCTCACCTCCTCTGCTGACGCCCATTCCTTGAAGTTGCAGTGCTGGGTTTCCATCATCTGAGGGCATTGATTTAGGGGATGCAAATGAGGAGGCTGCCTGTTGGAGGAAGAGAGGCTTCTCCCCCAACCAACCTCACGTAGGGCCCTGAGAATTCCTCATGAGCCTTGTGTGGCTGGCTTAGCAGGAGCCAGGCAGGAGGCCCAGCAGAGCCTGGGAAAGGCAGGGAGGCAAATTGTAGGAAAGCACTGGAGTGAGAAGGGCCTCTCTTGTCCTCCACGCAGGCCCTGGGAGGCAGGGGTGGCAACCCCGTGGCCTACAGGGGAGGGGAGGAGCCCAGCTGAGGAGCCCGTTAACCCCACTCCCACCCTGAGCCCCTGGCTGCACAGGCCCAGCTAGGAGCCATGATAGATGGCACGCGAAGACCGTGTGAGCTGCAAGGTCAGGGAGAGACAAGGAAGAGGCAGATGGGTAGACCCAGGGTGAGGAGCCCCAGACACACGCTGAGGGGCAGGAGAGGCTCTGCCTGGCACTAGCTGGGCAGGGGCTGCTGCCTGTTAGGACGAAAGCTTGTGCTAGCCACCTCCAGGCCTGGAAGGGTGCCTTCTGACTGAAGGAAGCAAGCATGGGCAGGGCAGACTCCAGACAGCCTGTCCCCAGGACCACAGAGACTCAGGCTGTTTGTGCTGAGAGGGCAGAAGGAAGAGGTGACAAGAGCACTTGTCATCTGCCCCTCTGAGGGGGGTCTGCCACCTGCCACTGGACTTGACCACCACCCTGAGAACGGAGGAGAGGTTGCAGCACTGAGCCTCAAGTCTCCAAACCTGCCCCAGGGTCCCAGATAGTCTCCATCTGCAATGAGGCACTCCACAGAGAACAAAGTCCCCGTCCCAGCCGCCCTGGGTGGGGTGTCTGCCCAGGTCCCAGTCAGGTTTCCGCCATGCCAGCTCTTGCCCATTGCTCCAAAGGTCAAGCCTGGGTGCCTGGCTCTGGGCAGGATCCAACCAGGCTGCCCTTCCACGCATTCCCCTCCCAGAAGCTCCCCCTTACAGCTCCCCTACCAGGGTGATGGGGAAATGGATGTTAATTTGCATCTTTGCTAATTTGAAAAGGAACATAAACAGTGGAGCTCAGTGGTACAGTTCTGCTGAGGGTGTAGTTTAAGCCCAATTATGTGCGATTAGTGCTTTTGCTCTTTGTTCCCATGGCATATTAATTGCAGATCTGGTATTGTGGCAATTAACACAATTGTGGGCCCTCTCACTCTTCCGGCAGGCCATAGTCCCCATGCTTTCAGCCAAGGAGGCGGGCTGGCGAGATGGAGGGAGATGCCCACTGGGGAGAATGCCTGTCTCCCCAATATTCATATGTTGAAGTCCTAACCCTCCGGTACCCCAGAATGTGACCTCATTCAGAGATAGGGTCTTTACAGAAGCAATCAAGTTAAGATGAGGTCATTAGGTGGGCCCTGATCCAATAGGGCTGGTGTCCTTATAAAAAGGGGAAATTTGGCCACATATTAATAGAAAGGAGATGGTATGAAGAGACAGGGGAGAAGACGGCCATCTACACGCCGAGGAGAGAAGCCCAAAGCAGATTTCTCTCTCCCTGCCCTCAGAGGGAACAATCCTGCTCACATCTCGACTTTGGACTTCTAGCCTCCAGAACTGAGGCAATAAGTTTCTATTGTTTAAGTCACCTATGGTGTTTTGTTAAGGTGGCCCAAACGAACTGAGAGACCCACCTTTGTCCCAGGCAAAGTCCCCTGGGTGGCACAAGGAAGACTGGGGGGAGGGAGCGCCAGCGTAGCTGTCTGTTCAGAAGTCTCGAGAAGGGACCCACAGTGAGGGTCAGCACCTCCCTCCCGCCAGGCTTCCCCTGGGCTTGCCATCAGTGTCACCTCTGTTCCCCTGGCTCCTGTCCACAGCACTGCACCCATCTCTAATTAGTCACCTGGCTCTGCCCTTCCTGAGTGCATCACTTTCTTTCCCTTTGTCATCCCCTAATCTTGATGACAAAGGGTGACCTACCTGATACGGTAAACAAAGTACATGCTATTTCCAGGTTAAGCCAGTTATAATGGTCAAGTATCTGCAGGGTGCTTTACAGCTTACAAAATACTTATCAAAGACCCGTTCTCATTCCACATTTCCAATAAGCCTAGGGGTGGTTGGTATTATCACCCATTTCACAGATGGGGAAACTGAGGCTTGGAGAAGTCACACACAACTTCTAAGTAACGGGGCTCAGACCTGAGCTCTGGTTTTGCATCTTGTGCTCTTTCTCCACAGCAGCAATTCTCAAGGGATGTTCCACAGAATACTTGAAACATTTAAGAGTTCTGTGGTCAAACAGATGAGGGAAAAGCTAAATTAAATGGCCGTCTTTATTGCAGGACTTCTCAGAGCCTTTAACATATTGTGGCTTTCTTAAAAAAACGCATGCAGCACACAGCATTCATTTTCCAGCCTTCTTTTACCTTTGTGGGACACCTGCCACTCCAAACAGGGCTGCATGACACCACAGTGTCACTAGGATGGCAAAACCAGGTCTACATGGGGAAAAAGAAAACCGATCTTAACCTCAATGGGCGGGTCCACTTCCTACCCCCCCCACGTCCCCCCAGCTCTTCCTCTGGCCCCCATGGCAGGCTGGTTGAGCACCCATGGTTGGTGTCACTGTGGGGTTTCTCATCCTCTGGGGTTCAGCCAGCATCAGAGCCTCGTGGTAACAGCTTGTCCCTGATCATACAGTAGGCACCACTGCTTCCACTGACTATGGCTCTGGTGGCAATCACACTCTCAATAGCCTGCCCCACCCTCGCCACAGAAAGGGGATATGACTAAATCCCCAGCCACTGCAACTGGTCCAATAGGTGGCGCAATACCCAAGCAGAGCCAATCAGAGGCTGCCCTGGGACTGTGGGGGCACCGAGAGAAAGAACTTTCCTTCCACTAAAGCTGCCAGGAGCCATGTTCTGCTGTGGAAGGAGGTCAGTCTGATAGGAGATGATGAGACCAAAAGGCAACATCAAGCAGGAGAAGAGGACCCAGAGGGAGAGAATGTTCCAGAAGCATCAAGTCCCCAGTTCCAGACCCTGAAGACCTGGTTCCTGCAGCAATTGACTTAATCCTATGAACTACTCCCAGAGCCTCCCCAGCGACACAAGTCAGTTGGAATTGGGTTTCTGTCACCAGCAAACGAAAAAGTTCTGACCAATAAAAGTCCCCGATCCCCTCCAGTAACCCAAAATTGATTTACCAGCCAAGACAGGCCCAACAGAATCATGGGTATGGGGCGCCACCCAGGTGCCAGGGCCCAGCCCCTCCCCCCCCCAAACATGCCCTGAGGCCTCAGCCAGAGAGACAGAAATGATGGCCTCCTCTCTGTAGGGCCCAGATTCCTTGCTGTCAACACAATTTCAGTTCAGAAAATATAGGTACAGTGGTACCTATAGGTCACAGAGGGCTCAGCAGAAAAACCAACTCAAGGTCAAGGATATTCATTCATTTAACAAACCTTTGCTGAGAGCCCACACTATGTCAGGGACTAGGGACACAGCAGTGAAGAAGGTTGATGAGGTCCCTGGTCTTCCAAGCTTACCTTTGGGAGGAGTGAGAGAGAAACAGGTAAGGGCATAAATTCATAAATAAGGTTATTTCATATAAGGAAAATAAACAGGAAAACAGGAAGGACCATGTCAGAGAGCAGAAAGCAAAATAGGGCGGTCAGTGAAGACCCGCTGAAGGGGTACTATGGTCTGAATGTGTCCCCTCAAAATGCATATGTTGAAATCCTAACGCCCAGTGTGATGGTATTAGGGGCCTTCGGGAGGTGATGAAGTTATGAAGGTAGAACGCTCATGCACGGGGTTAGCGCTCTTATGAACGCGACCCCATAGAGCTTCCCTAGCCCCTTCCACCACTTGAGGACCTGGCAAGAAGTCAGCTGTGTGCAACCTGGAGAAGGGCTGTCACCAGAACCTGACCTTGCCGAGGCCCTCTCTTGGACGTCCAGGCTCCAGAACTGTGAAAAGCAAATTTCTGTTGTTTATAAGCCACCCAGTTTGTGATATTTTGTTAGAGAAGCCTGAACAGAGTAAGATGGGTGACATTTGAGCTGACATCAGAGAACTGAGGATTCAGCCCTGTGGAAGAGCACTGCCGGCAGAGGAA